TGGGCAGAGTGATACCTCTAGCCCTGTTCTTTTATCCCATGGAACTGAGTCTTGATGACAAAACTATATTTTTTAGTATAAGCTATTTCAATCAATTAACAAATACTGAGAATTCACTCTAGGCTCAGGACACTCTTCGGTGTTAAAGAAACATAAAAATATATAAATGACCCATGGCCTCACTATATTTGTGTGAAGAAACTGAGGAAAAATGTTCTATGACAACTTGCCATTGTTGTGACTACAAAGTATCATCAGTACTTGCAAGAGGCAGCTTCTTTATTTCTCCCAGTCCACTGCTTGACACCCAGGGTTCTGACCTGTGGTAGCTCTTATGTGCAAATCTCACACTCAGTGCAGTTTGGGTGTTTTTTGTTGAGTTTTAGATGTTCAGCTTATTGTTGTTTCAAGGGGAGAGAACTGGGGACATCTCTCACTCCACCATGTTTCTCCAAACTCCCATGGAATATTATTCAGCCATAAAAAGGAAATCTTGCAATTTTTTACAATATAGGAGGACCTTGAGAGCATTATGGTAAATGAAATAAGTCAGACAGAGACAGACAAGTACTGTTGGATCTCATTTATATGTGAGATTAAAAAAAAAAACCTGAGTTTGCAAATACAGAGAACAGATTGATTATTGCCAGAGAAGGGTGATGGAGTGGGCAAAATGGGTGAAGAAAATCAAAGGTACAAATTACGAGTTATTAAAAAAATAAGTCCTGGGGATGTAATTAATGTACACTGTGGTGACCATAGTTAATAATATTGTATTGCATATTTCAAAGTTGCCCAAAGAGTAAATCTTAAAATTTTTCACAAGAAAAATACATTTTGTAACTATATATGGAGACAGATGTTAACTAGACTTATTGTGGTGATCATTTTGCAATATACACAACTATCAAATCATTATGTTATATATCTGAAACCAATAAAATGTTGTATGTCAATTATAATCTCAATATTTAAAAAAAGAAGACTCTAGTATCCTCTGGTTACCTTTCAATT